GTCATACCTGGCCCTACTCGAAGCAACATCAGCCATTCCATGATCTAAGCGGAACTCAGAAGATCCAGCAGAATTGGATCTTACAGTAGATACTATAACAATATCTGCTTCGCCACCTTCCTGAAATCCTTCAACTAATTTCACCTTCAACTCAAAGTTTAAAAGCTTTTCATATCTTTTCCCAATTCTTCTCTCAATATCCTTAACTTGTGCTACACCTTGAGATACTATACACACAGAAATCTTTTGGCTGTAGCACTGCCATTCTGTGTACAACAGCAAAAACTTCAGGTATCATGGAAATCATCATATTGGAAAAAAGCTTTTAATAGACCAATCTCTAATCTTAACATCTATGTACATGTTTTGAGCAGATGTAAAGCCACATTAAGAATTTGAGCAACCCATACCAAACCTAACTTATGTACAAAAAGTTGACAAGGAATAACAGATATAGCCAACAACCTATGTTACTTGGATTCTTCATTTACCTCAAGTGCCCATGTTAGATTCTCAACACTTAAACATAAATAGGATATTTAATATATATGTGTTTAGGCCAAAGCCAAAATCATAGAAAATTTTCACAAAATAGCACACTTGGACACGTACCCATGTCAAACAAGAATACCCAACTCAGAACAACGGAGTGAACAACAACAAAACCACGAATCACCCTTACCCGTAACCAAGCTGCACGGTCCTTAAATATCGAGAAGCCCGGTTAGGGTTCGGACTCATCAAACACATTCACATAACATTTGTTGGTTGAGACTTGACATGCAAGTATGCAACCCACTATCAATAATAACTAATCACAATTTACACTACTTAGAGAACAGTCAAATACACACATAAAGGAAACAATCCCTCCTAATACGTTTAAAAGGGCGGTTTACCTTTGTGCAAACGTTGCACAATATTCATCAAAACTGCCACTTCAACCAGATTTCTAGTGTTATGCCCATCATCATCAACTTCTTCTCTTCCTTGAGAGATGTTTATAAATGAAAATGGACCAAAATTTTTCCTATAAGATTATGTAGCTTACATTTCTTACTTCTAACTTTTCTTGAAGAAAGCATTTGATCTCTTACAATTTTTTCAATCTTTCCGGATTCCAAATCCATAATTCTCTTTCTTCCCCTGCGTCAAATCATCAAGAACCAAATTCAAGTAAATATTAGATTTTATAGCCTAAAAAATCAAGTTTTGTTCAAGAAAATGATCAATAACAGACATGAAAAAGTTGAAATTACAAAGAATGAAACAAACCCAGTTCAAGAATGATGATGATTTATGTTGTGGGTGTTAAAATGAAGGAATTTTGGTAGTCATTTTGATTTATTTTTAAGTGGGATTTTCAAAAAATGGGTTTATTTTCAAGTGCGATTATTGATGATAATGGAAATGATGGGGAGAGAGATGAAACGTCACTACAGCTTAGCAGTTGTGGCACGGGGTACACTGCATATGTTTGCCGCCATTGATTATATTTATAACGTCTACTCCATAGTTATTTTTTGTGTGCACCCCGTAGTATTGTTCTACAATGTGTCATTGTGTACTACGCTAATACCCAATTCATACTCAGCTAGTAAACTTGGTTTAAACTTTAAACTACAAGGTATTTCTTCGTTTCTTATTTTTTACCCCATAGACAAATGTTACTTTATTAACTTTTAATTGGAAAAAATGATGAGAGAGAAAAGTAGTGGGTTAAAGGGGTGATTGTGAGAGTAAAAGTGTAATCCTATATGTTCAAAAATAAAATGGGTCGAAATTAAAATGACGGCCTAAAAAGAAAATTGAGGCAAAACAAATAAGAGACCAAGAGAGTAATTATTGAGCGATTTTTTCTTTTTTTTTTGTTTATGCAGTATGAGTAATTGTTGTTTTACATTGTGTAATATGCTAGTACCTCCATATTTTTTTTGTTAATCTCAATTATTGTATAAAATTGCCAAAAAAAAAAAGAAGATAAGAGTGGGTGCAACAAAATATTTAGACGATGCAAGTGAATTCCGTAAATAGATAGGTGGAAATAAGAGGGAGCCCCAGTTAATCATCGTGATGAACAAAAATTGTTTATTTGGTGACATTTCTGTAAATAGAAACATATCAGTCAATATGACATTTTCGTAAGTAAATCAACATTTTCTTTATATTACAGGAACACGTCAAGGGTGTGGATTGTGATACACGCTAACTTAAACACACAAATAATAGGTGTGTAAGAAGTAATTCTTCATAAAATTTAAAAGTTACGAAATACTTCGTATAAGAAATTAATGTAATAAAAAATCAAAAGCTAAATCAATCTTACCCGGAAAGGGTGTAAAATAATTTTCTTAACACTTTTTTTTTTTTTTTTTTTTGCACTTAAGTTTATTTTTTCACATTGATTTTTTGTAATGGATTTGAGAATGAGGTTGGCAACATAGAGCAAAACTAAGGAAACTAGAGCTTCTCTTCCTATTGTAAAAAAGAGGTATTTGACAAAGTTGGGCACGGCAGTCGGCAGGGTAGCACAAAGAGTATAGGAACTCATGCAGTAAAGGGTATTATATATTAACATAAGATGGAAGTTAATGGTGTAAGGATTAAAGTGTTCAACTAACTTGCAATCAACCCACAATAGCAATGAACAAACAAGCATAACAATCAAGAACAACTTTGAAGGAATTAAAGCAAGTAAAAGGAAGACAATGTTACTGTGGGAAAACCCGAGAACCGGGAGAAAAAACCCACCCTTGCACTATGGAGTAATATTGATGATGAATGAACTCAAGAATTACAAGCATGAATTGTATAGAATTCAAATGCTCCTCACAAACCCTCTCAAAAACCTCTCTATGTGTTTAAATGTTTGTGAATAATCAACAAAGAGGCTTAGAAAAGGTATATATAGTCTAGGTAGAAAATACAATCCAACGGCTAAGATTAAAGCAAATCGCACAAGCCGAAAACGAAGCGACGAAATAGGGAGCAGGGAGGTTCGGCCGAACCTACCCAGAGTTCGGTCGAACCTGGGGTGGTTCGGTCGAACCTCCTTGGGTTTGGTCACTCCTCCTCTAGAAATGAAAACTGGTGCACCTACTGACTTAAAACCGGGTTCGACCGAACTTTTCACAAGTTTGGTCGAACCTTAACAATAAGGCAGCTTCTATGCAATCTCCTTATGTCTCCATGTATTTATCTATCTCCACACTAATCCTAACAAATGGTAATCCACTTCCCTGAGTTAAAAGATATAAGACAAGATGAAAGTGTTATCAATAACTTCAGCTAGATTAATGTCTGCTATTTCAGATATTTACTTGACACCAGGCTAGCAAACATAATTTAGCAACTCAAGCAAACAATGCAATTAGCTGACATTACTCAACAAAGATTGGAATTCAAATCTTTCACATATTAGGCAAATAATGATCTAGTTTTGCCCTCAGTTTTCGTGTGATGATGGAGCTTCGGTTCTTTACTTGATCATGTAGGATAAGGTTGTACCATTCAGTGGTAAACACAGCAGCAGCATACCATTTTGTCGCATAATACATTCGAGCAGTTGACACTTGACCCCATTGCCTTAAATAATCCGACTCCATCAAAAAAAGGGTACATTCAAAAATATGATCAACAATCCTACTTTTGCAAATCATAGGCATCGAATCAGCAGAAAACTTCTGAAAGATATTCAGATACTCCAGCATATTACAGCCAACTGAGAGTAACTCTGAACCAGTAATGTCGAATAGAAGTCACCAAATGTTCTGTGCCAAGTCTTTGATTATTCTTTTTCGGATATTTCGACACCCATTCAGCATCAGGATAGAGCATAAAGTAACCAGTGTTTGGATGCTTTCGCACGCCAAAAATAATGTAGACAGAAGTCCCAGTGATTATCATGTGCTGGTAAACTCTTTAGGTGTTCCAAGGTTGTCAAAATCTTCTCTTTCCAGGATGACCAAAAGTATATCAGTTTTTCAACTGAGACCTGGCCACCTGAGATCATTTCTCGCGAGTCAGATTCCCATTTAAATGGTGAAGTCTGAGTCTGAAGAAGGATTTCAAGAATTTTTCTAGTACATATGACCTCCCATTTCAAATTCCCGCTTTTTTGGGAGACTTCTAACTGCTTCTCCAGTTCAGACAACCCAGTACTTTGAGTTGACAAAAGCAGAACTTCTGTATGAATTTGTTTGTGAAAATCAGCTGAAGCATTGAGAGCAGAAGCTTCAGCTCTGGACAACAATTCCTCTTTCAACAAAAGATCTCTTTCGAGCCAATTTTTTCCACCAGATGCCCAACAACATTTACCAAACACGTACCAAATATAGAGCCTAGAAGCATCCTCATAATTCTGAGCCTTTTCTAATAAATCTGCCTCACGTAAAAATAATCCTACTTTTCTTGCGATTCTTAGACCCTCTTGAATATCGCCCATTTTCTATCTCTATGTCAATTCCCTCCTCATAACACCCTTGATTCCATAAGAAGGTCCTCATTGAATCAAGAGAGCTAAATTTCTTAACATACTTCATCATTTTTTTCTTGTCTTTTTTCTTATAGGAAGCATGAGCACAACTCTTCAGGAATTCTTGCTCAAATGTTATCAAGTCTATGCTTCCCTCCTCAAGAGCCAGCTGTTTCCAGCTTTGTACGTACTGCAATCCTAAGTTAAACAATTTTCCTGTATTACATGCATGCAAACATTCTCTGTAGAGGTAATTTTCAGCATAGATCTCCGCAGCACGTGCATGAAAACCGGCCAAGGTATAGCAATGACAAGCCTTTTCAAGCTCAGAACTTTGAAAGTGCTGCAGATATATATCACCTGTAAAAAAAAAAAAAGTTCAATAGCGTCATTTCTGGAAATAATCAGTTCATCTGGGTCAGAATTCAAGGAAGTAAACTTAAATGTGAACTCCATTGGGTTTTAGGCTACAATTTCAATCATATAGTAAAAGTTCATTTTCAGGCTTAGGACAAGGTTCACTAACTAGGATTCATACTGCCCATTATACTTTTGTTTCTATTTTTTTCAATGTTCATTTGCAAAGGACTGTGTCAAAAGTCTGCTATGTTCTAGCGAAAGAATTCAAGGTATATCAGTAATAGTTCCAAATAATGGTTTCTAAAAATAGCAGAATACATTGAAATTAGTAACTGTTTTCACTACTACCTGCTCTTTCATAATTGCCTGCATCATAGAAGCACTTAGCGGCCTCTTTGTTGTTATCTAGGCTTTGAAAGATTTCAGCAGCTTCTGTAAGCATTTTGACTGCTTCAGAACTCAAGCCACGCATATGAGCAGCGGTTGTTTTAAGGCCAGTAGCACGGGCGTATTTTTCCCAGTAAGTATCTCCAGCTCGCCCAAAGCAGACTGCCGCTGTCTCATAGTTACTTACTTCGAGAAACTGCATATAAAGGTGAATCAGGATGCAAGGAATATTGAAGACAAAATAATAGTTACAATAGTTCAAGTATGAAATCCTGAGTTCCTGACTCAGATAACACCACACACTGATGGTGACACCTAGCATGATGCCAGCAATTATAGGTACATCTGATAAATGATTGAGCTATGATCCCAAAATCCTCAATGCTGATGCATTAGACTTACAAACTTACTAAATTTTAATATGAGCATCACATGGGTTCTCTAAAATCTATTAAACTAAGATGGTTAACATGAAATTGGAGGAGAAAACTAATAATGAATGTCTTCCAAATAAAGCCAAAAAACAAACCTTGAAACCTTGCGATTTCCATTCCTCCTTAGAGCTGGGAAATATTATTTCCTGAGCTAATGAATTGTCAAACTGTCTAATTCGGACCAGATTCAATTTTTTCCAGTAATTAGCCATAGGTTCTGCATGACTACCATGGCTCTCACAGATCCATAATCTTTCCTTTGCTCGGGTGACGGCCACATATAGTTGCTTCAATTCATGGCACAAACCACTATGTTTTGCATGATTGAACTTTGGAAAATGTGGAAATGATGAGCCAAGGTTCTTCTCTTGCATATATTTATATATTACACTCCAATGTTCTCTAATAGGTGATGATGAAAAGAAGTTGTACAAGAGAACGTCCTGTGATGATAAACATGTCACAGGGATAAGCTATTTCAGGATCACAGAATATCAAAGTGCATAGCTGGTATATTAAGCAACTTTTGCAACATAAAAATAAAAATAAGGCATCAAACAAAAAACAATATAGAGTTAGAAATGTCAAGCGAGAACCTTATAACAATAATGAAGAAGTCAATGTCAAGAAATAGAAAAGCCAAACAGTTATTTACCTTAAACTCCAAGCCTTTGCACTCAAATACCGTGAGCACAAGTGCATGTCCTTTTACATGGCTTGGCATTTCATTTCTCACACTTTCATCTCGTACAATAATAACTTGTTCAGCTCCAAAAATGACAGTATTCCTGCCATCATTTTTATTGTCCTGAAAGATTTTCATGACAACATCTTCATCACCAGATGCAGACTCCAGCAGTATGGGAGCATCTCCATCAATAAGACTGAACTCTGGATTAACCTTATCAATTGAGTATGGAAAGAAATGGTAGATAAGTTTGATGACACTGTGAGCTAACTTTAAAATCCCAGCATGGGATCGAAAGTTTTGATTCAGCACAAAAATTGGGCAGATGTTTCCTTGATCCTGTTTACTAGTTTTCACACACGGGCCTTGGAGAAAATTGACATAGAAAAAGCTTCTGATCTCATCAAAACTAAAATCTACACCTTGGGCAATTGTTTGAGCTGTATCACCAGCAAACACATAACCTTCTTTGACATTCTTGCAAAACATATTTTAAAAGAGAAAGTTGCCGCACAGTCCAATCTTGAACTTCATCTATATACACAAAATCCAAGGCATCACCTTCATACCTTTGATGGCTGAACCGATGATGAAGATCATTCACTACATCAGACAAATCATACTCACCTCTTGTAAGCTTCATCTTCTCATAGCACAAGAATATACCATATATGGCCTCCCTCTCGTTCCTACTTAAGCTTGACTTTTTGCAGTCAGACAATTGAATATAACTGTCTAAAGTGAGTCTACCCTGTTCAACTTTTATTCCACCTTTTATACAAGAGAGTATTTCAGTGAAAACTCTTGAAGGATCAAGATCCTTTGTAAGAGTCGAATTGAAGTGAGGCCAGTATGAGACACTAAACTTATCAAAGCTTACTTCTTTCCTTTCCATCATTTGCAGCTCAACTGATTTTAAGCTACAAGTTTGTCTAGTTTTCACAAATCTATGGAAATATGAGGTACCTATTGTACCATCCAGCATGAGCAGGAACTTCTTGAGAGATATCACAAGAGGATATGACTCAGCAGGGATCTCCCAGAAAGAGTGAGGAATATCTTCAAATAGTTGCGTCTCATCATAAACTTGGATGCAGGTTTCCTTATTCAAGATTTCTCCACGAACAGTGCTGAAGCATCAGTGAGGCCAAATTCAGTACGACAACAGATATGAGATTATCAATATAACAAAATAGCTTAGCATATAATCAAACATGCTCCAAGAGCATGCTCCTCAACATTATCACTAAAATTCCATTTGGTTGGACAGAAAACACTGCCAACTAGATATTGTTTTCCATGGACAAATTTGAAAGGGAAAATGCTACAAAAGATTAAGTATCCTTCTTTAGTACCTTAATAAAATTTAGAGAGAAGGAAAAGAATGGGGATGGTGGGAAGGGGATGAAAGGGAGGAGAGAAAGTAATCGGCAAGAAAAATAAGGATAATGCGGGAAGAAGAAAATGTCTTTGCACCCTTATACAAACCAAACGAATTCCTCCTAACAGAAAACACCCTAAGAGGTGAAACAATTACACATATGAGATTGACAATTGACCCGAGAACACAAATCTATTGAATACTGAATACACTCTTCTTCCCTAATATATACGACATTTTTCTGTTTAAATTCCCAGAGACAATGTGGAGTTGACAATGTCACAATTGAGAAATGTAAAGTATCTCACAGTTACCTTTGAAGATTGGAGATGTGTTGTTTTACTGTATGGCACAAGTTCGGATTAACTGTTACAAACAGTTGTCGCAGAATAGCGCTTCTACCCTCAAGCTTAATTGATGGGTCATCACACAAGGAAGCATCGCCATGTACCTCATCAGAACCACCCAAAGCCATGTGATATAGTTGTTCTTTCTGAAATAGTTTCGTGACTAACACCAAGGTCTTTCCAGTGCCAGACCTTCCTAACACAAAAGAGCTTCTTGGGTAATGAATTATTTCCCACTCGTTGTCTGTCACTTCCATGGGAAGCTCTAATGCCCTACCATCAGAAACAGAAATCAAGTGTTTCACTACACCGACAGATAAAGAGTAAAATTTTACTAGCAACAAGCTCTCCTTGACTTCTGCCTTGTCAATACATCTTGGTGCGACATCATCGTCATCTGATATACTTGTTCTCTCAGCATCACTGCAACTCTTGTACCGAACAATATTAGAGTTGCTGCTCCAGCATACGGGAACTTCCAGCGTACTGAGCATAACAAATCAATTAGATAAATGAGATATTGCCAAAAAGGATTAATCATTTCAACAAGATAGTTTTCCTAATTTCGCAATCTTATAGATGCATGTTGATGAAAATGTAACAAAAGAAAGCATACCCTTCAATACATTTTTTCTTGCAGCATCTGACAAACTCTTCAGTGAATAAACCATAGTGTTTGTCAATTCTCTTAGCCAATTCGGCCACTGCTTCCAATGGCAAAATATCCCAAACCCTCATAACTTGGAAATATTCTGATTCTTTAACAATGTCATTTGAGCATATGACATAGAGGCCTTGAACTTTGAATTGCTTGACAATTCGAACAGAGCTCTCACAAGGAGGATCGACTTTGATTTTCCTTGGTCGCCATCCATTTGAAAGTTTGCCTATAAGATTAAACACATGCATCTTTGTTTGGCTTGATTGCAGCTTTGAAAATGATTTGATGAAATTACTAGCAAAGAGAACCTAGGAAAAATAACATGAGCAATGTTCAGCAACAAGAATAGGTAAGCCCAAACTGAAGTGTTTAAGGTTCAACTAAATTGAACATCATTAATTTGATAAGAGGAGTTACCCACCTTCCACCTTGCATTACGAAAAAGCACACTATTTCCGCTGAGCAAATCATCCAGCTGATCTAGTTCCTTCTTAACATAAATGATTGTTTCTGATATTTTTTCATCTTCATTAGCATTGAAAAAACATTTCCGCTCTTTAGCATCGGTGATAAAATCCCTCCAAATAAGGTTGGCTTTGGCTAAAGTCTTCCCATTTCCAAGCACCCATAGGCAATGTCTGGAATCAAGAATGTAAATTGGAAAATAACTAGTGTAGGAAAAACAGCAGTGAAGCCTAAAAATTATTTGGAAGTACTTCCAAGACATACCTTGCCCTTGTTAATGCAACATTAAGTCGTTGAGGATTAGATAAGAAACCAATTTCGCCAAAGTTGTTAGATCTGACCAAAGATAGCAGTATTATGTCTTCCTCTGCACCTTGGAACGCATCAATTGATTTGATGTTCACTGTAAAATTTTCCAGATTCGAAAATCTCTGACCAATCATTCTTTCAATTGCCTTAACCTGTGCAGAATAAGGCGATATTACACCAATGCTAACTTTTTTATTGCAGGGTGATTTGCACCATCCTGCAAACAAGAAAATGAACCAAGACTAAGAATGCAGCAATAAAGAATTTTGTAAAGGCCAATTAGTGTATTAGATAAATAGAGGCCCTAAAACACAGATTTTTGTATAGAATGCAAGTGTACAATGCATCCCAAAAGTAAAAATACCAATTCAAACAATGCAGCTCTCGATAAAGAATGTTGAACCTAGTGAAAAAATGTCCAAAGCTAAAATATAGATCCATTTTCCAGGTCACTAAAGCCTGGGGTAGCACACATTCCATCAAGGAGAAATGGTGCGCCAAAATAATAAATTAGTTACTTGCTGAACATCAATACTACACCGTAACCAAAAAAAAAAAAAAAAAAAATACTCGCACTACTAAAACAAGCATTATTTTTCATGAAGAAAACGGCAATATTTCACAGTTCGTTCCTGCTCCGATGCTGGAACTGGAAGGTATTTTTCCAATTGATAAGGAATATAAAGACAATTACAACAGAATTTAAAAAATTCTAGTCACGGATCAAATCTGCATTTTGCAGCACATCCAGAAGCTAATTTTTGTAATGTGTTACGAAACTGAGAAAATAAGTAGGTTGATCTTTCAAGATAAAAATTCTGTAAGCAACCTGAAAAGGGAACTATCCGCGTGGCATACCTTTGTAAAGACGAAGTACTATAGCCCGGACAACTGCTGCCTCAACCATATTTTTTCTGCTTTGTCCATTATCATCAAATTCTTCTTTTCCCTCTGTAATATTTATAAATGAATAAGGACCAAAGAATAATCCTTCAAGGTAACGTTTCTCATAGCCGTCACTCTTCACACTAGGTGCATCAGTAATTTTGTTGCTGTAAAACATCCTCCTTGGAAATGCACTTATTGAAGGGTGCATTCTGTACTGCATGTTTAGTAGGTGTTTTGACCAGCCTAACAAACCTAATCTCTGAAATAAACTTCGGCCAAAATCAACACTCGCTGAAATCTGCATCAAAAAAAGGAAAGGTTTCTGGATCATATAAACAATCATAAGATTAAGTAAAATTTTAAGAGTAAAATAGAAATCAATTTTAGACCGATATTCTTACATGACTTTTCACCATGGCCTGTAGCTGGTACTCATCTCCTGCAAGAATAGCATGCCTTAGATCGGGAAGTTGGAGTGGTATAATGGACTCACACTCCTTCAACTGCGCAGCTTCATCAATAACCACAACATCGAGTGATTTTATAGGCGCATAATACAATTTATAGGAACTTGAAGCCGTACAGAATAACAAGGATGACATTTGGAAACAGAAATCCGAGATGAAATCATAATTTGTCACTTGGGGAAACTTAAGTTTGCCCAAAGAAACAATTAGATTTTGTAAAAGATCAAAGCATTCATCTCCCTTCTTTTCGAGAAGACCTAGTATATACACAATAGACTTCTGAAAGACTCCACTACAAGGAGCCAACCCACTGAGTTGACCAATATATTGCAACAGCAAACTTTCAAAAGAATCAAGCAAATCATAAAGCTTAGTCAAGTTCTCAATATTGTGTTCCTGAATGAAACTTTTTGCCATATGGGTACAAAAGATTGAGATGCATCTCTTGACAGGACCAATTAGTTCATTGAACTGATCTCTAATAGAATTAAGAAAGGATAGAAGTTGCTCTGAATTGCCAAGGCACCTATTCTGACCATGTTGTCCAGTGAGAAAATGATCCTGTGAAGAAAAATCCTGGAATTCATTCAACAACAACGAGAAAGAACAGCGCCAGCCACTAATGGGGCTAAAAACCTCTGCTAGCTTCTTAACACGGTAGTCCAAATAAATATCTTCAATATCTGAACCTACATCTACCTGCTTCTTGCTCCCAAACAAAAGTAAGCTGCCCAATGAGCAAAACCTATTGTCTGAATTCCTTGCAGAACACGCTCTCAACAGCTCTACAACCTGACTAGCTAATGCAGTAATTGCCACATTTGTTGTGGCACAAGCCAGGCCTCTACAGTTAAGCCTTAGCAGAATGCATAGCAATGTGCTGATCATCTTAGATTTACCAGTCCCAGGAGGACCCCATACAAGTTCAACAGAAAACTTGTCCTTACACTGTATATTTTTCAAAGAAGCCG